AGAGAAGACTGTCATGGTTGGCAGTGATGACTCAGATTTAAAGGATGGTACTGAGCAACACATGGTGCAAGAGGCTGTAGAACATCTCATCATTGACGGTCAAGTTCATTTTGCTGATCCTAATGAAATAGCCAACATCCATGCTGATATAGGGTCAGTAGCTGAGATCACCACCACAACATCTAATTATGTGAGAGGTGGGGAAGGACGTCATACGCTGGTAGTTCCAGCCACCCCTCACATGCTTTCCTCTGCAGGTGCGACATTTGAGGATGCTCAGGGTGTGGGTCATGATGGAACAACGATTGCTGCTCTAGCACCTACACAGGCTCTTCAGACAAGTTCTGGCCCTGTGCACCTGGTGCAGATCAGGATCCCTGCGTCTGAGCATGGTAATCGAGCATGGTTCAATATTGTGGAGAATCAGCAGTGAAGTAGTTCTGCATATCTTAAACATGAAGATGTAGATAGAGGCAAGTGAGAGAGAAGTTAATGAATTATGTATTTGGTTCATTCTCATTCTTTACAATTTATGAAAGAGATAGTGTTTATGTTCAATTCATGCTAAAGGATTTTTCTGCACTTGTACTATTCATCAATATGTGAATGTTGACCTGATTAGATAACCGAGAGCAGTAAGGTATATGATAAAGTGTGCCAGTCCATTCTACTTTTTTTTATGATTCTTGTTTGCCAGTTCTTATGTTTTCCATAATGACACAACCACTGACTTATTATTTACAGTGTTATTTTGATCACAGTTTCAGTTGAAGTATTAAACTTGTACACACAACATAAGTGCTACATAATTCATCACACTGTATTGGGTGCATGAAATGTGTGAAGTTTATGTAAGATTTGTGTTTTGAGAGTATCTAGCATATTTCAAGCAACTAGGAGAGGCATTTTTGCAAGTGAAATGAATTATTTTTACAAATTTCATTTAAGAAAGTACCAAGTGTGATTTCAATGAAAAACTCTGCACCAGCTGGTACAAAAGCAAGACATATATGTGTATATACGGCCCTCATGGAAACAGTATAGTAACAGCCACCAGGTGTATTGTTAATGTGTGATTTCAGATAAAATGTTGGGTATTAGTAATTTCTCACAATTATAATGTAATTCTGCATATACCTTACATATATTACTGCTACAGGAAACAGTTATTTCATATTAACAGTTTGTTACATTTACAGGTGCAGGAAAGATTAGAAAGTGATATGACAATGCCTGTGATTTGGAAAAGAATTAAGGTACTGTAAATGTTCCTAATACTAGACCGGGTTACTGTTTATAATTTCTGTGCTAGTACCTGGCTGCATTTCAAACCCAGGCTAATGTTCAAGTCTATGTTGTTCATCATATGTGGCAATTTAATTTAATACCAGTACTTTGATTTGGACATGTGTATTAATTGAAATAAAATATCATGCTTCTGCTAAATAATGAAGAAATTAAAACAACCAGATCTAGAAACATTGTAATGTCCCTGTCAAATCCTCCACTATCATAAAGTTCCCTGCTAGTAACTGGCTACAATTCAAGGCTGTTTTAGCTGTGGCATTTAATTGAACATCTGCAGTGTTCTAAAACTGTCACTGCAACTCTGAAGGCCCCTTAGGGGTTGACTCTTTTCATGCTATTGAGCTGCAGCTTGTATTTCCTTCTAGAAGAATGCCATATCCTGTTGCTGTGGAGATTTCAGAGGAGCTCCTAGTATTGTAAATGTGGCATAAACAGTAAATGAGAACTTCTAAATAAGAACACAATATAGCAATTGTTTGTTTGATTTGGTAATATTTCAAATTCTTTTTCTGCTTGTCATTCCAATTTTGATTAAGAAATCCTGTTTACCAGCCAATCTATTTCAGAGTTAATTGTGTGCGCATATATATATATATACACACACACACTACAGTTAGGGGTGGAATGTTTGTGATGTCTATGTTAGCCTTTGAAAAACGAAAAATAAAGTTCTTACATATTTTCATGGTTCTTTGATACTCCATACACTGGAATACAGCTGAATGGACCAGATAAATTGCACCGTTAACCAGCTAGTTTACCTCTATTCTACTATAACAGTCAGAAGTTTTGTTCTGATGTTATAAGGATGGCCTTCAACTGAAAGATGAAGTATTGAAACTGAATGTCATATGAGAACAAATGCAAATTTAAAATATCTATTATGTTTTCATAATAATGCCCAATCTTACACTTATCATATCAGCATTCTGCATACCTGACTTTTAACCTCGTTTTTTTAAAATTACATGCTGTCAGTCATTATGTAATGTCTGTTTATAGCTATAAATACAATGGAGACAAAACTAATTACTCAAACTGCATTATTGACAACTTATGACTAGACTTTCATAATATACCATGGTTACAAAATATTCACCTTATGAATTTGTTAAAACAGAATGACTTATGACCTTGCTTTTGAAGTTTATTGTAAATAAAAAATACGTTAACTGCCTTCCAGTTATAAATTTCGAAGAAAAAGGGATGGAGTAAACATTTTTGTGACCTATGTGTATGAACATACGTCACTATAGTGATAACTACGCACGTTAATCTCATTGCGTCTAAATCTTGTCTTTATTATTCTTTCGTTGCGAAACTCTTTTCCATTGTATGTGGAAATCAATACAGTGCGTTCGAAAGTTAAATATTTCAATGAATGTGATGTGAAACAATGGAAGAGGTTAGTACGTTGGTATTAATCTGTCGAGCTAGGTTATCTATGTTCTCAGGTTAGCACCAAAAAAATCCTTGCTCTAGAAGACGACTGTAATGAGAAAATTTGTTTAGCGAAGAAATGAGTTGTTTGTATAGTTGAAACCTTTACGCAAGGCTCTAAAACTGATGTTTGATTTAAAACACGTGTAACAGAGCAAGTCAGTCCAGATTTGAGCCTAGTGATTATTAATCCCTCTATAAGAACAAGAACAGTTTGTTACACGTCTGGACAATAGTACAGGTATGGATCATATCCGATTCATCTACGACGATGACTTTGTCAATTTAGTGGTGACAATAACAATAACGTAAAGGAATTAGTTTCTTTGAGATAAATATTAAATAGTTTGGAGGAATCAAACAGTTCTTATGTATTGGTGAACAAACCTTAACCTTGCATCACTCATCTTTGTATAAACCTAGGTGCAAGTCGTGTCGGAGAGGTTCATATTTTTGTGCATGATGCAATTGTTAAAGAAATAAGGTGTAACTAAAAGAAGCGAGATTCTGACTTACGGGTTAATCCAATCAATGGGATTAAAAGGGTTTATTTTATTGGCCTTTTTCAAACTGGGTGTGTACTCCATTCCACTGAATGAACCAAAGTCACTTTCTTTACCTTTACTGACAAAAAAGTAATTATTATTACAAGTTATGAAGTAAGTAAAACAACTCTGAGCCTGGATGTGAATAAGGGCAGCTTTCTCACTTTTAACTTTTCTTTCATTGTATTTATTTGGACTTGTTTTATAGATTTGTTTATATGGTTGGCATAACCTGTAATTATGTTTAATAGAGTATCAGAGTAAGTTATCTGATTTTGCGTTATAGGGGACAGATTTATGAGATTTCTATTAGAAGAAATATAGAACGTACATCACAGCAAGGGGCAGAAATGCATAGATATCTGTAATATCGCAGTTGATGATTTTACTTTTATCATTACTAGCCTCTAATACACAGTTTTTCTCCTTTGAAGTTTGGTCATGTGCAGAAAATTGGATAGCTTTGCCCATTCTGGCTTAATTACAAATGACTTCTGCAAGTGAAGGAGGACTCAATGTGATCAATTTTAGCCTGAGTGCAGAGGAAATTACATATATTCTCATAATCCTGTTACCAGAATACAGGACACAGTCACAATATAAAATTAACTGAATCCCTTAAAAATATGTAACTAACAGTGGTGGCAAAGAATTGAAAAGGTTGATTTACTAGCAAAGTAAGGTTGTAAGATTCTCAATACTAAGCAAGAAAATTGTAATTTGAATGTGCAAAATGTTCATTAAATTAAAATACCAGAAGACTTGTAATAGACAAGCAAGTAGTTATGAAAGGAAATGGTTTGGTGTCATAAAATAATTTATCTCAACAGAACTTATTTTGCAGATGTCTTGAAAAGTAGTATAGTTGCAGAACTTGATTTCTTATTGGATATGATAGCCAAGCTAAACATCTACACAGAACTGGTATAGTTAATTTACCAAAGTTGTTAGCTTTGCAATAAGGATGAAGAGATGAATTCAAGCTCCTGCAGTGTGATATTTTATTAGCACAAGAAGATGCTATAAATAAATATTGGGAAAATTATTTGAAAAGTCATGACCAGAGCTTTGAACACCAAAACCATGTTCCATTTTATCTTCATTGCATTTCAGTAGAACAGTCTTCCATAACTGGGGCTCTGTCTGTGATCTTGCAATTGGCCAGAAGTCCTTATTGGTCATAAAACTAAGAAACAGTATAGATTAACATTATTACTGGAAAAGTGGGGCAGTAATAAGTTGGCTGGACTGTAGGGTAATCCATATGTTACATAACCAAAAATGAATTATTTCAATGAATTACATAAGTCTTATGTCATTTACAGAAAACAGACATTTTTATCTGTGACAAATCAAGAAGAATGCTTTGGGTTCCAAAAAGGAGATTTATTAGAAGGTATGTCTAAATTAGTGTTGTGTATCAACATTAAAAGTAACTGAAATGTTCTTTTTAAGAAAGTATTGCAAGGCTCATCAGCTATGACCAAATTATATGACATGTGTTATTTATATGAGTATGCATTTTCTATTTTGTGTGGATCAGTAATGCTATTTTCAGAGATGATGAATAAAGTGAAATAGTTTTTCTCTCTGCTCTGCTGATAATACTTATTTATGAGAAAGACCACCTGCAAATGTATATATTGATTATCATTTCTGCTTTGCATTCCGTGTCTGAGCTGAGAGACTAGTTGTTCTGATGGAAAGTTGTGTGGTTCTCCTCTTTACCTACATGCAAAAGTTGGATTTGTATGTATACTGTAAAATAGATTAGACCACATCCTGTTTGTTACTTCTGACTAGACATAACGTAAGAATTTGGCGTAGCATTGTTTAATAAACCGAACAGTTAAATAGAATTTTAAAAAAATAACTTGTAAAATAACTACAGTTAATACTTTATCAAATTGTTGATGAATGAAAGCTTAAAAGATGTTAACCTTTATTATCACATGTTACAGAGCAGTCCAAATTTACTTGCTTCACACTAGTATACTGCTAAACCCCATAGTGCAGGTGTTTAAATTGCCTTTTACTGAGCAGAAATTAAAGCTTAATTTAGTGAAGAAGCCCTTGAAGTATTGGTATACTACAGCATTCCTTTTATCTACTTAAAATTGGTACATAAAATTAAGTTAGATTTTTAGAATAAAATCCTGAAATCTGTGTTTGTGTAGCTTTTGTTAAATCAGTTATCCATTTCAGCTTTGTCTAGTAACTTTACAGCCAAAAAATTAGCTAATGTCATGCAAAAGGGAGGACATCCTGTAGTCAAAAGTGTATGCCAATGAGTTGGTGATGCCTGCAAGTGAACAGGTTATGGTGGTTGTAATTCAAGAAAACATGGATTTCTCATATTATTTGGTTGAAGTGCAGGTCTTGTAGCAGCTGCTGACAGGAATAATAGTAGTTCTTAGCAGAAATGTCAGAGATTACATGGCAAGCATTATCATATATTATTACTAAGAAATTGCCTACATGTATTCTCCACTCTCTTTTATAACAGAAGTGGAGAAATAACTTTTAACCCTTTCTGTATCTGATGGTAAAGTAGTTCAGAAATTTGAAGATTGTTACTCTTGTTAATGTTTACATATCTTCATATAATTGTCAGGGGTATTGACTTCCAGTCATCAGCAGTCAGTTGCTTACTTGTAATAACAAGGAAACTTTAACTGCTTCTGTGAGTACCACAAACATTTGATTAGACACCAGGCTTAAAATAGTCGTTGAATTGTAGCTGGATCCTAATATTTAAATTGTGGTAGTGATATAATATTGTATGTGAAATACCACATGTAATTTTAATTATTCATTTTAAGACCAACTTCAGGACTGAAATACATTTTTCAGTGTATCTCACTAAGTAATTGCCTGAAAAAAATTCCTTCAGTAAAGTTATAGGTATGTATCAAATACACACGTTATGTCTCAGACAATACTTGCCATGCCCAGTGGTGCAAGTGTGTGTTCTTGGTAAATTTTGGGCTGGAATATTTTGTGAAATTTAGTTATTGCTTGATCAAATTAGTTGGTTTGAAAAAAGTAAAGTATTTCTCTTATTCTTATTTATTTGTTTATGGTTTCTTTAACAATACTGTCAACAGTTCAATATACAGCATTAAATGATAAGGTGATTAGTGAATGATGAACTAAAGAAGATGTGGAAGGGAGTGATCATATCTCAATTTAAGGTGCTCTCTTAGAATTGGACTGAAGAAAACTATAGAATCTTACATTCATGATAGTTGTTCCCGGGCCAACATTTTAACACAGAACCTCCTGAATACAAAGCAGGAGTGATAAACATTCAGCTGCAATATTCAGCGTAATTGGCTTAGTTTGTGCTGTAGTTTTATTTTTATTTTTGTATTTTACTTTTCTTTGTGTGAAAGTGGTATATATATAAATCTGTCTGAGCACTGATTGGTTAAGTTCTAGGCATCCAAATTGTATTCAGTCTTTGAAGCTCTTTTAATAATACCAAAATGTGGATTATAGATACTCTGATCTGTAATAACAGTATTGCTGATGAAGAAATCAGTTTTAGAAATACAATGCTTGTATGCTGATTATAAGTTTTTTTATATAACCTGGGTGTGTATTCACTGACTAATACCAGCATGTTGTTCAATGAACAGCTTACAGGACTTTCTTAACTCTGTTGACTTCCTATTTGGCTATGTCGTCTGCCCTTTGTATAATGCTGCATGGATTGTTGAAAGTTTTATGATACTGGTAAGAGTATTTTGAGTCTAAGAAGAGTACATGTCTGTAAGCCTGTGGTTCTGATTTGATAGTAGTACCATATTTATATGAATACAAAGTGAAATTTCTTTGATCAGGTTTCGGTCTTTGGAAACAAGTGTGTTATGGAAGATACCTTCCAAAACATCAGGTTATAAATTGTCATTTATTTTTCTTACTTGGGGGTAGAATTGTAAATTGTCAGTATTTTATGTGTCTTGGATAAGATTGTAATTGCCTTGTGAACAATGTAGTTATGGATGTTCCATTGAGAGGTTATGCAGTTTACAAAACATTAGATATGCGTGAATGAAATATGGCATGGGAGATCTTCAGTAAAGTTGTGTGAACTTAATTTTGGTTCAGATTACTATTTGGGACTTGTAATTTGCACAGGGATATTTATATCAAAACTAAAAATATTTGAAGTAAAAATGATACAACTTATAAGCGTGCTTTATATTATACACATTTTTCATAAAGCCATGTTTCAGAAAATTGTTAATATTTGACTTGAGGGTCTTGCCAGTTTTTTGATTCTCTGTCTTAATAAGTATGTGGGTAGATTAATAAGTAACAAAATCAGTATTTTTGTAATGACCAAAATATAGATTTACGGATTAATTTTCATATTATAAAGTTGGTCTTCATGTCTTTCATGAACCACATTCTCTTGCCTTGTGCCAATGAAATATGCTGCACCAAGTTGTGCTCTTCTGTTCAAAAGCCACATGACATATCATGTTTTAAAATCATTCTAGGATCTTTTAAACTTTTACTGTTATGATAATCTGGCACTGCCAAAAACTGAAAAGGTTTTAAGACTGATATCAAAGAAATAGAATGGGTGGGTGTGAGAGGTGGATTGGATTGGATTGGCGTTATGTGCCTCAGGATAGGGACTAGTGGTGGGCTGTTGTGAATGTAGTAATGAACCTTCAGATTATGGTAAAGGCAAGCAGTTTGTTGACCATCTGTGATCAACTGGATGAATATTAGCTTTTTAAAAGGGCACTAAGATTTTATGTTTGTTTTGTGTTTCTCTTTTTTAAAACTTAAACATCACATCAGTATCAAATCTAAACGTTTGTGATGATGGTGAGTTATTTGAATGAAAAGTTCCTCGGATATTTTCCATCGTCTAGTTTACTTTTTATTTAAATCACATCAGGTGGTAACAGTGAGTTTTGGAAATTCCTAAAAGTTGTGAGATCAGTTATTATTCTTTTATTGTTTTTTGTGTTGTTTATTATGTTCACACAGGTGTGTATTGAAGATCATAAGAATTACATTTGAAGACTAATTTTGTTTATTTCTGACCAAACAGATTTTTGACACTAAAAAAAAGATAAAGATGTGCTTACCAGTACCCCAGAAGTATCTATTGTTGTGATATCAAAATGAAAAGTACTGTATCTTATTATGGGGAGGCATTAAAAGTGTCATTCACTGGCAGTTATAACACCGCACTTGAGACTGAAAGTACAAATTAGAAATACTGAACTGAATTATCTTGTATCACACTCATGACACCCATTGCTTATGAAATGGAAGACATTAGTTACTTCAGAGATGTTTGTTAATAATATGTAGGCATGAACACATTAAACTCTTTAGTAGCATTTTTTTAGTGTATAAATAATCAAAATGGACCATTCATAACCATTGCTAAAGTCTGTGAATTATGCAATTTACAAGTGGGATAAATACTTAAGTTTGTAATATGAGCAGAGTTATTCAGCTTTGGAGGTGGACTCTGCCCTTTCTTTTATTTTCTTTTAAAGATTAATCATCTTAGAATTAATTTATACTTTTGCATTCATTGTATGTTGGATTTACATAGATGTGGTACATACTGGTGCTTTTGCTGTATGAGTATAACGTACAGTTTATTTCTTCACTGTTTACCTGAATCCTTCTGCTTACCTCTATAGGTTTTGAAAGTGGATTTGCAATTTTTTAAATCCTTATTCTTTATGGCAAGATTATGACTTTTTATTAATATTTCTGGTTGTAAAGGAAGATTTTTATTTAGTTCCTAGACATTTAGATGACAATAACTGTAATGTGGTAATTGGTTGAAGCAGTCCATGTTTTAAACATGTTGCTATAAAGAGCTTCAGATTAAATTTGTGTTAGAAATGAATCTGATCTCTTGAATATCAGTAATATTGTAGAAAGGATGCAGTTGAATTATTTGGCTTCATTTTATCATGTAATGATGGCTTTCCTCAAACAGCTTTAGTACAGTACATATTAGCAATATTTAGGACTTCATTTTATCTAAAAGTTCTTAGTTTGAGTCATTAATTTCTTACATTGCTTGGTTTGTTAATTTCTTGATTTCTCATTGGATTATCTTACAGATTAAGGCGATATTATTAATTGTAATAACCCAGTATATTGCGGTGTTTTATATATCCCTTGTTACAGGTACTGTATTCAGTTTTAATGTTACTTGATTTTATTGCTGAACTCCTGTCTATAAGTAGCACAATGAATCGAGTGCTCAGAGGGATAGCCATACTTCTGATCCTATTTTGCATTCCACTACTTCTCTACAGTCTAGGATTGTAAGTATTTGTGCTAACACTGGTTTCCTGTATTATTAAGTCTGTCATGCCTCCATTTAATATACCTTTATCTTCTCTCTCTCTCTCTCTCTCTCTCTCTCTCTTCCCCCCCCCCCCCCCCCCCCCCAGCCTACTCATCTGCCCATAATTTTCCAGATATGCATGCATTATTTTATGTCCTCATCACTGAAGTTGACTGATTTAAAGTGTTCTGTACTGTGGACATCATGTAATCACATTATGCTGCAGCAAAGATCACAGTTTATACAGTTCATATCATTACATCATGTATATTAATTAATGATATGAATTATTTTGAGGGTACTGTCTCGATTATGGCAGCCATAATAAGACATAAAATTACATTTGATTTAGGTTTATAATTCTTTTAGTCATTATGTTAATTTCCTAACTACAGTGCAATCATCAGCGTAACTACAAGAGTAGTTTAAATTAATACAATTGTTTTACTAAAAAATACCTGTGTTGTTTTACAAGTGAACAACTTAATTAACTCTCAGCAGTCACTTTCTTTCCTAATACTCCATCGTGGAAAAGTTTGTTTGGTTTGTTATGCTACTGATCTCATAGCTTGTACTACTATTTCTCATCAGTGTTAAAGTGCATTACATTGAGTGCCACTTTTAAGGGTTTATACTGTGTAAAATTAAATATTTTGTAATTAAAAAAAATTAAATTGGTGAGGAATGAAATGCCACATGGCTGTTCAGGTGGATTGAAATCTTCATTTTTAGTTACAGCAGAAGTAGTTATGGTATTTATTCCCAGATGCAACATGGGTTGGTTACATTTTGTTTCAACTCATGAATATGAGATACTTTGATAGGGAAGATTGCACAGCTGATTTTGTTGTTCCATTTGTCAGTACATTTTTGCTTTGTATGATTTGCTTTGTCCCACTTGTTTCATTTCCAAAACTTACCTTTTACTTCACTAACATTTCAGAACAAGATGCACATGATAGAGGGTGATTAAAATATTAGATTGGAGTAATTTTTTAAGTATGTTTTCTTGTGCCTGTGTGAAATTTTAATAGCAAATGCTTGTTATGTATTGTTGATGTTTGCCAGGGTAAAATATTCCTTGTGAGCATGGGCCTTGAATTTATAATAGTTTGTTATTTTTATTGAAATATATTTTCCAAAATTGACATTAATATTTATGCTAGGTATCTGCATGTAATTCTCTGCATCCTGGACAGGGCAGGATCATCTGGGGTTGTATTTAGAAATGGGTTTCAAAGCCCCAATTTTGCTGCCATTGTATCTCTTACATACAGTAATAACTGTTACATGTAGCTAAGAAATGTTATAAAATTAAACATCCATTCAGAAGCAAAATTGTGGAGTTATTGTGTTTTATAATGGCTTATTAAAATATTTTGCCTTTTGAAAGTTACAGAAAGTCGGATAAGTAGGATTATATTGTTCGTATTTGTTTATATATTATTGTTATCCATAATGGTTGCTTCTGATGATGCAATGTTGCAGTGCGCTGCTGTAAATACTTAGATTATAATGATCGTAGAAATTCTCTATGTCTTTTTAAGTGTTTATGTATGCTTTTGTTGATTAGAGAATTTGATTAATTTTAATTATAATGTTTATTTCATATTAGGTAAGCCAGGGCCAAACTTAAAGGGCTGTAGCGCTACAGGAAGAAGAAGTTTATTTCATATTAGAAAAGTGTTTGGTTATCATGGTGCATAAACCATAAAATAATTTGGGCCAAGAAAATACTGCATGTTAATAAATACTGAAATTAACTTAAATTATTTTAACTTTGTCTTTTACTTGTTAATTACCTTCAACTTTGGTCCTTTGTTCTGGAAAATGCCCATTATGAATACATGTTATGTTATCACGGTTTTACAAATGAAAATAATATAAGGGAACAATTGAATTCTATCAGTTTACTGAACCCAGCTACATTGATAAAAATCACCTATTATTTTTTGCAGTAAACCATTCACATTGAAAAGTGTATGTTACAAGAATGCATGTTTTAATAGGGCTGAGTCTATTTATATTACTGAATTTACATCTTTTCCTGTGATTTTTACTATGAAAATATTACTTTTCCTAAAGGTATGTATCTGCATTTGTGGTATCTTAGAAATATGGATGAGTAGGTTATAGTAAGACAGTCTTATTGTGGTCTGAAATCTTGTTCACAGTTTCATTATCTTTAAAATATTTAGTTACAGAGAAATGTGGAGGAGTTTAACTTGACATTAATTTGCCATTTCTTCTAAATGCTGTGGTGTGGATGGGGAGCAAAACTGTTTGTTCATGAAATGTACCTCAGTAATGTATAGTGTGAAATAAATTAGAAATAATATATTAATGTTGTAGTGTTTGTAACAGTTTATAATTATAAAGTGTGTTTCTGTTTCTCTTTCAGAATTCTGTTTGGCACATTAAGGGCTGTACTATGTATTTTAATTGTAATGTTTGGCTTCATACCAGTGTTGTTCAGATATACATACCCCCTGCAGAGAACAGTCATATTCCTTAATTTTGGTAAGTGTAATGTTCAGTCTGTCACTTGAAGATATGGAGGATTTTGAATCTAACCCCAAAGAGTACAATCATATTTGGGAAGCTGGTTGTATCTCAGCTGGTCAAAAATTTTGCTTCTTATGTGGAATCAAAAAGTTTCCATATTTACAAGATTCCATTCTGAGGCAGTTTAATCCAGTTCACATTTTAATAAGCAGTTTTATTTGTACTGTATGAGCCGGGATAGCTCAGTCAGTATAGTGACTAGCTACGGGCTGGACGACTGGGGTTCGATCCCCGACGGGGGCAGAGGATTTTTCCTGTAGCCTCTGCGTCCAGACCGGCTCTGGGGCCCACCCAGCCTCCTCTACAATGGGTACCGGGGGTCCTTTCCCGGGGGTAAGGCCGGCCGGGGCGTGATGCTGACCACTCACCCCCATCTAGTGCCGAGGTCAAGGAAGAGAGGAGCTATACCTCCACTCACCCCAAACGCCTACATGGCGTATAGTGGGACAAACGTTACTTTACTTTTTATTTGTACTGTGGTCATCTGAGTTTGGACACTACTGGTTACCAATGTTTTGGAGGAATGTGCTGCTTCCAGCTTATGAATAGATGTAGATAGGAGGATCCTCTGAACTACACTATGTCAAAACCCAAAAGACCACAATATAAAGATGGCTGTCATGTGGGTTATAGTACCGTGTAGTCTGGTATAAGTTTACCATAATTTCAGAGGTCCTTGCTTCCTCCATCATCAGGATCAAGACTTGTGAAATTTTTGTAGACTACACAGTGCTACAACCCAAAATGCAGCCATATTTCTACCCACCACTGTGAAAATCTCTGATATTACACATGCAATTTCATTATTTCAGTGCAATTTATTTTAAGGAAAACCAATGCGATGAACAGTCATTCAAGTACTATGTCTACTATTACAATAAATTTATGTACAAAAACTCCTTCTGTTTTAAAAATAGCAATAATTAATACTGCAGAAGTGTAATGATGGCTGTTGAAACAGTGAAAAGCATGAGATAGGTATGTTTGGTGAGACAGAAATGTTTTGTTGCTTGGTTAGTCATATTTTGTAAATCATCATGTTGGTGATATTAAGAATGAAAAAAATTAATTTCTTTCAGTAAAATGGCCTCACATTGAAGACTTGCGTACCCCCGATAAATATGGGCTGTCAGCAACTAGAAACTTCTATATTACAACTGATGAAGGTGTCACCCTTGGAATGTGGTGAGTCTGCTTCAACTTTCTAATGTAATACATATTACTTGATACAGAATTACCTAATTTGTAGTTATTCTTGTCTAGTAAACCTATTCAGGCATTTACATAGTTGATAGGTAGATTATGTAATTTGTAAGAAAGGCCATAAATGAAACAAATTTTGCCTTCACTAGCTGTCATATCTGAACAGCAGGAAGGCAGGTATAGTTCCCAAGGTATAATGCTGGAAACAGAGTATTAAAGGGCTTAATCATCTTCAGCTGCACTTTGTAACTTATTTGGGGATGTTACTGAATAGTTGTCTGTCTATATTCCAGCTTGACAGTCATATCATATAAAAATGTTCAGTAATTGGTCAGTGGGCTGTCAGTTGAAAGAAGTGACTGTAACATATTCACACATTTATTTAGTGCATATATAATCATGTTTGCACACATGTATGTGTGTGTTATTTGCGTGCATTCTGGGCACAAGACACTTATTCTTAATTCTGTCTTCTCGCTCTAACTTGACTGGTTAAGTGAAGTTACCATTTTGCTTCTAGATCAGGTTTGACATATAAATTGTGCAACACACTGTTTTCAGGCATATATTGCCAGCATCATTAATGAATGATTCAATAAATGCTAATGACTCATTCTATGAAGAAGCTCTGAGTCATGGAGAGCCAGTGATAGTGTACATGCATGGCAACTCAGGTTCCCGAGGCAGCCCACACCGTCTAGAGTTGTACACTCTACTTAGGAACATGAATTATCATGTTGTTGCTTTTGACTACAGGAGTAAGTTTTTGATTTATTAAATGCAATTTGTAACTTGTGTACAATAGATTAAGTCATCATATGCATGCTAACAACATATTAGTCCAGGAACTATTTGGCTTCAGGAAAGGTGTATCCACTGAAGATGCAGCCTTCAAGCTAACAGACAATGTGCTTAAATCTATTAACCAAAAAATGCATGTTGGAGGAATTTTCCGTGATTTAGCAAAAGCTTTTGACTGTGTAAATCATGAAATTTTGTTGGATAAATTGCATTTTTATGGCATTCAAGGAATAGCAGCGCAGTGGTTGAGATCCTATTTAACAGATAGAAAGCAAAATGTCGAAGTAAAAGCACCTAAAAACAAACAAAATTTTTTCTCAAACTGGGGAACAATAATACATGGAGTTCCCCAAGGGTCAATTTTAGGGCCCTTGCTTTTTATAATATACATAAATGACCTTCCTCCAACAATGAAAACAATAAATACTTTAACAGAACCCATAATATTTGCTGATGACACAAG